TTCTGGGATTTGTTGAGATAGTTTGTGCAAAAGCACCAGAAAACTTAAAACAGGGTTCTCTGGTGCTGGAAGGCAGATGAGGGACAGGGCCTATTCATTGATGATAGAACATGTCACAAGAAAAGTAAGAAGAAAACAACAAAATCTCACCTGGCAACATGTCTTTGACTCCATACACTCATCCATGGTTGTGTCTGGAGCCTCTGGGCTGGCTAGATGAAATAAGTTACTGACACCCATTTAGGGTCTGTAACAGAAATACAGAAATGTCATATAAAAAAGGAAATAAAAACATAAGTAAACATCTCATTTCTCAAACAAAAATGGATGCCTGTTTTTATGTAAAATTAAAACAAAAAGTGCTCCTGAGAAAAAGGGTCTCTTAGCCTGGAGTGAGGGCCAGAACTGAATTTTGTTCTGTCTATCCTTCAGCATTGGTGTGTATTCTATATAAGCTCCTAGTTCACTCAGCCCACTTGAGCAGAATGAGGAACCCCGAGTGAGTGGTTCTTTGTTGGCCTCAGTTGCTTTATGTGGGCCTGAGATGCCCCATGAAGTCATGGCTCAAATTGTAGGTGAACTGTAGGGTCATTCACTTAGTAAGTTTGCTTTCTTTCTCTGTCACTGATTCTAGGGTACCATATGTCTTACACACATTCAAGCATATATGTTGCTTATCTACCTTGAACCCTGCTGTCTAGGTGGACTTCTGTTAGGGACCCCAAGGGTCCTTTGGCTTGCTAAATGTGCAGCACCTTATTTTAGTGTCAGTATATCCATTATCCCAGTTTTTAAAAAATTAACTACCAAGGACTGCTGTTTATCTTTGAGGGGATAAAAATCCAAATTGTCATTTGCTAGAGAAAAGTAGAAGGGCTTTCCTAACTTGCTTTCAGAGCTTTTATTGCCTCTTACTGATAATGACTTAGAAAGCTTTTTGGGTTTTACTTTTGTTTTAAGAAACATCAATTCCTGTATATCTTAGCATTTTTGGTAATTGAAATTGACTTTGTTCCTTTTAGGTACTGTTTTTATGGTTAGAATATTAGGATTTTTTTTCACTAGTGATAGAAAATGGTCATCCTTAGCACACAGAAAAGTATGTTTGCACTTTTTCTTGTACAGGAAGGGTAAGGGACATGCTCTCTGCAGCTTAACTAGCAAGGGTCTGTCCATCCAGCAACCTGACATTTTGTCAGAGTTCTGTGTGTACATCCACATTTATAATTTTTTTCTAGCCCATGTAGTTGTTCGCTTTTAACATATAACTCTGGCAGTATTTTGAACTTGCTAGCATTCCAGGGGTATTCTGCTTTTTAAAAAGAACTGGGATCAGGTGGAGTCCTAGTCTTGGTACAGGGACATTGCCAGTCACATAAGAAAGCAGGTAGGCTGATGGTTCTTGTTCTCAAGCCTTCCAGGTGAGGACACATAGTCTGTTGCTGCAGCTGGCTGGACCAGGCCCCTGCACAGCCTAAAAATGGTTGAGTCAGTAGAACATTTAGAGACCACTAAACCTTGGGTAAGGACAAGCCTTTATGAGAGAAGTAGCTGTGTGGCTGACTGGCCACAGCTCTTACTTAATCTTTGCTGTCCTCTTTTTAGGCTAACAATATAGAAGCTGGCGTAGATTAGATAAATATGAAGCACAATGACATTCTGTGGACTAAAGATTTTTTTTGATTTTTGGGTTTTTCCTCATTCATGTTCTCAGTAACTCATACCTGGCTTTAAATTAGGAGCAGCTAGAATTCTGGTCTGTATAAACTTTAGTAAAAATTATTTTGGATTCTAGGATTTTAGAATGGTTGACTTAATTTAAAATTGTCTTAATTCACTCTTAATACTTCACTGTGATGTTAACTGGAAGCCCTGCTTTAGATCAGTCTTTTAATTTTAGACCATTATATCTACTGAGCACAGGATTCTTACCATTTGTAAATCTAAACGTCTGTGAACGCACTTCTACGCTTCTTCCTTTATGAAAGCATAACAAACATGAAAAATATGTTGGTTATAGAAATATTTATTGTTCAAGGTCTGTAATTGTATTTTAAAATGATGTAGTATTCAACTTGTGAAGGGAATTGTTTTGTCAAAAAATTAAAAATTCAGTGTGTATCAGCCCACAGAAGGGCAGGTTCTACTTTGTGGCCACAGTGGGATAAGCCCCAGTTGCATTCACTGAGCTTTCCTGATGGCCACTTAGCTCCTGGCAGTGGGTTGAAAGATGTCTACTGGGTCACATGATGTTTGGTAATGCCATCTTGAAAGTCCCTGTAATAGATGAAGGAGACTACATTTCCTGTCCGTGAAGGAATGTATGTCTAAGGCAGGTAGGCAGCTCAGTACTATCACATACTGAGCAGAGTGGAGAAAGTACTTTCAGACTCAAGAAAACTTTGGAAAGTCAGTAACTAAGCTGCTTGGAAATCAGTGCCACAAGCATGACCTTGGTGGACACAGGAAGCCACAGGAAAATTCTTGACAGTCTGTGTCCCATCAGTCACTTCATTTTTCTTTTTTCAAATACATCCTGTTGGATTTGGAATAGATCATAGAGGTCGTAGACTGAGATCTGGGACTGTGTTGAGACCATACAGGTGATATGTTACTTCCACAAAATGGCATCTCCAAGTAAGCTGTCACCTGGTACACGTGAAGGTGGAGCCTGCAGCTGGAGTGAGGCGCACACTTGGCTCTACTTGCAGGTGGTTTGCTGAACAGAAAGCTAAGGGACCCTCTTGATTGGGTAGGGGTTTTGTCCATTTGTGGGGGAGGATGTGGTGGGTGAAGGTGGACCTTCTACAATCTGTCATGGACTGTGATATTGTAAGGTCTATATTCTGTATGTGGATAACAGACCCAATCAGGAAAACGAGCCTTATGTGTGTCGTTAACATTTATATTTCCATTCAAAATATGTATTCAGTGTTTATTTCCTCAACAGACTTTGTTAATTTAGGAAATATCTCCAAGTGGAAACGTGCTAACTTTCTGTAAATCTTAAATAAAAGGTGCTGTTCCTTCCTCTGACCCAGGACTGGTTTGTGTTTTCTGTCTTTCTTTCCATTCCTTTCTCTTTATAGTTTTTAAATTTGTTTCCTCCACACTAAGGGAAGAAGTGGGTTGGTGAATGGAACATGGGCTCTCTTTCATGGGTGCTGTGCCTAACATCCTTTGGGTCTCAGTTACTCCATCAGTCAGATGGGTCAGCCTTGTGTGGCTATGGGAGCTGCTCTCTGAGCCAGGGCAAGCGATGTGGCTACTGATTCCTAAGGTCCTGGGCTTCCCTAGTACTCACTCCAGTCTCAGAACTGCTCAGATACCTACCTATGATCCCCATATTTGATGGACGTATAAAATTTGTAGTTTGAGCTCAGAGCATTTCAAGTTACCTCTTTCTGGATGTCGATGTTAAACAAGTGGGAGGGAGAGGGATTGGCAATGGGCCCTGTAGTTCCAACTAGTCAACCTCCTGGTGATATGACACTAATCTAGTGTTCTTCATGGTATTTTCATCTTCCTGCACAAGGTGAGAAAATTGAGTTGAAAGACCCCCCCCCCATTACATTCTTGTTGCTAAATTTGTCTCGTGAGACTCGTAAACAGGGGATAACACAAAGCCTGTCCCTTGTTCCAGTGGACCACAGGAGTCCTTGTTAAGTTACTCCACATTAACATTGAGTTCAAGTCAGAAAAATGCCTGTTTTTTCTGTCATTGCTCCCAATAATTTCAATGAGATAAATCTGGTAAAAGCTCATCAGTAAGCCTGCAGAATCTAGGTCAGAGTCCCTGGTGAGGCTTTTTTTGTTTGTTTGGGTTTTTTTGTTTCTTTGGTGGTTTTTTTTTGGGGGGGAGGGTGTTTTTCAACAGAGTTTCTCTTGTGTAGCCCTGGCTATTATGGAACTTGCTCTTTAGAGCAGGCTGGCCTCAAACTCAGAGGATCTGCCTGCTTTTCATGTGAATGCTGAGGTTAAAGGCGTGTGCCACTGCCGATTGCCCGGCTTGTTTTTGTTTTTAATGTGGCCTAATTACAATATCTAGCTTTGTGTTAATTGGCAAATAAATCTCTAACATAATTCCTTGTGATTATTGAGGTAAACAAGAAACAATGTAGTTAATACTTCTTTTTTGCCTTGTTTTATCTCCAAAATTCAATTTTCACCACTAAGATCAGTTAGCCCCCCACCCCCCATCCTAAGCACAGAATTTGATAGATGAAAGGGTTTTCTGTTTTACCCATTTAAACGTTTGTTGCTAGTATTTGCCATGAGAGGACAGGATGCTCTATGTGGCAAGGGTGAGGTTGTAGCTGGATACTAATCTCTGTTCAATGGAGGGAAGCCAGTGAAATAGGTGCTTTCATCTGCACACATACCACATTTCTCCCAAGTCTTTCTCCATGTCCATTATTAACAAAGCAGGTAGAAATTGTTTCTTGCCTTTCTGTGGGGCGGAGCAGATGAGCTGTGACCAGTTTGCAGTGAAAGGATAGACAAGGCACTCAGGCTACAATGCAAGTCAGTGACTCTCCTGACTCTTGAATCAGTTCCAGGGGAGCAACATGCTTCTGGAAGAGAAACAGCTTCTGTGAAGTATTTTTTTATGACTTCACTTTGTTGGGAGTTTTGGGTTGTTTTGTTTTGTTTTTTAATTCATGTGGTATTTGGGTCTGAACACATTGGATAAGAAAACACAAGAGAATTGACCCCAGAGCTCATCTTAGTTTACTTAGCAGAGATAATTGGATTTTCATAAGTTGCTTTATTTAAATGAATATGTCTTGTGTACATATGTATATTAAATATTAAGTAGAATAAGGTCCACTTCTGAGTTTGATAAGTAGCTTTTACAAGTTTTATTACTTCCAATCCAGTGATAGTGTGTATCTACACCACATCACTGGACAATAGGGCAGGAAGTGGGCCTCATCCAAAGGATGTGGCCACCTGTTTTCTGTGGCTAGTGAACTGTCGTCCACCTCCTTCATCTCCAGGTCTCAGACAGCCCAGGAGATGAGCCCTCAGAGTCTCCATATGAAAGTGCAGATGAAACACAGACCGAAGCATCCGTCTCATCTAAAAAGTCTGAAAGAGGAGTAGCTGCCAAAAAGGAGTACGTGTGTCAGGTGAGGGCTAGGTGGTGTCTGATGTGTTGATGAGGGCTTCACCTGAAGTTCAGAAGAGCAGAGTGAGTTTCCAGCATCTTCTCTTCCTTCAGAGTTCTTCTTTGCCCCATTACCACTCACAGATATATCGTTGGAAGGGTTAGACCATCAGCAGAATTCTGGTATTAAGTTGACTAAGTTAACATTCATTCTCAAGTGGGATGTGTTTCATGTACAGCACAAGTGTACATGTGGCAGTTTGAAGTAGTATTTAGGAATGTGTGCTCTAAGAGGTAAGGTGCTAGGGTAATGTGGTGCCCTTGCTGCTTACTTAATTCACTGGGTAGATCAGTCATGGGCCGGGATGGTGTAACTAGACCCATATCCCTACAATGATATTGCCCAGGTCAGTGTCCTACCTGTGCTGGATATTGGATTGGTGATCTTTAGAAAGCTACTCACCTTTCTGTGCCTTAGTCCCTGCGACATTGTGAGGTACAGTCCGTGACAGTATCCATGTGAGACTGCTGATTTGTTATCCATAGTTGCAAAATGGCTGATAGTGAGCTCCATTGCTGCCATCTGTGGAAGGTGACTGGCTTATGGTGAAAATATGCCATGGATTTTGGGTTTTTAGGTTTTTTCTTTTTTTTTTTTTGACATTTTTGATTTAAAAACCTCTTATTTTATCCCCCCTGGTTTTTATTTTTTTTTTAAAAACCCTCTAATGTCATTCCTCTGGGTTTGCTTTTTTTTTTTCTTTTGACATGTTTGATCTAAAACACTCTGAATGTATCCCTCATGGTTTTGATCTTTTGTTTCCTTAGCCCTTGCTGAGGCACTGCCATCTTTGTGTAACTTGACCTAGCTGCAGACTCTAATCCCACTAGGCATTTGACTGTGTACAGGTGGTTATGTTCATTTGTGTGCCAGAGATGGCGTCAAATGCCCCATATGGTGAGGAGAGTACTGAAAGGGCTCTGACTAGATGTAGGTTCATGCCACCCTCTGTTCTCCACAGTTGTGTGAGAAGACAGGCAGCCTCTTGTTGTGTGAGGGCCCCTGTTGTGGAGCATTCCATCTAGCCTGCCTTGGACTTTCCCGAAGACCAGAAGGAAGATTCACCTGCACTGAATGTGCCTCAGGTAAGTTCCAACTTCTGAAACTGAGGGATTGTGTGTGGAAGTTGGTGTTGCTTGTCCCTTTTTTTCTGTGCTTCCTTAAGTTGTATATGAGACATTTGGCAGAGAACAAGTCCCACACATACTGGCTCAAAGGTTGTATGCTTCTAAGTTCTTCCACTGTACTGTGGGCCTTACTGCTTGAATGACAGTATCACAGGCAAGTAGTTCAGGATACAGTGACTGATGAAGTGAGGGAATAAAAGGCTGTGTGCTTTTCCAAACCCTTCCTGTGGGGCTAGTTTAAACCTTGCTTTATAGGTGGCAGTTATGGAGATTTGCATTTCCAAACAGTCCTTCCTATTTATAGAATGCTCAGTTCATTACAAAGGCTAGATGTCATCCTTAGCTTCATTTTCGACAGCAAGAACTTAACTGAGGGCCTAGTGCTTTTGCTCTACCACCATTGTAGTGCCTCAGGATTCATCTTAGAGTCTAGGATCGCAGTGGGAAGAAGACTGGCTGCACAGTGGTCCCTGCTCCCTACTACCTACCACCTAGGCCTGAGAAGAGTTAGGCTACCCAGATAGCCCAACAGCAATAGCACACTTCAGATGTCAGTTTTCTATAGCCATAGCAAATCTTTGCTGGACTGGGGAGTAGGCCAAGAAGAAGAAAGACTTTCCTGTATTTCAGGTGAAGTTGGAGATTAGATGACAGCAAGCTCGGATGACTGGCCTTTTTTTTCTGAAGAAGACTTAGACTAGTCAGCAATACAGTCTGCTCCAGAAAAGTTGCTTAGTTTTAGTTGCTCAGAACTGGAATTTAACTCTTGTTCTCTGCATTTTTTCTCTCATCCCTTTCTTTAACCACTTGCTAGGGATTCATTCATGCTTTGTGTGTAAAGAAAGCAAGATGGAGGTGAAGCGCTGTGTGGTAACTCAGTGTGGAAAGTTTTACCACGAAGCTTGTGTAAAAAAGTACCCTCTCACTGTGTTTGAGAGCCGAGGCTTTCGATGCCCTCTCCACAGCTGTGTGAGCTGCCATGCCACAAACCCTTCAAATCCACGGCCATCAAAAGGTACAGATAGATGTACCCTTACAACTTGGGTATGGGTTCGCTTGGAATGTATAGGTGCTTCTGAAAGTGGGGCCATTGATGCCAGACAAGTGTCACCAGAGGTTATGAATTCTGATGGGAGTCTTCATTATCTCCTGTTTTTCTGCTGACTCATGAGTCATACCTTTTGTTTTGTTCCTGTAACATAAGACTTGCCTCCATTCTATTCTTTCCATATCAATTAGTACTTTCAGATTCTTGATTTTTCAGCAAAGGATACTACCTGAGATGTCTCTGGATTCTCTTTGCTCATTTTTAAAGGCACTTACATATATAAGTGAAACATCTATTTGTAATATAAGAGGTAGAACCCTGGGCTTCACATACTAGGCAAGTGCTTTACCCATGAGCTTCATCCTCAACTGGGAAGTATTTTAAAATGAAATTACATATGTGGAAGATAAGGGTAGCTGTATGGGGTTTGAAAAGGCAGGTGCTGTCCTTCTTGTCATAGGGCTTCTCTGACAGGATACATTTAGCAATATTTAGGGGAAATATGCTATTAACATCTAGGAAGGGTTTCAGGAGAAGCTCTCGAAAATCCCAAATGATAGCAGCCCAGGTTAAGAAATGCTGGTTGGGGGCTGGAGAGATGGCTCAGAGGTTAAGAGCACTGGCTGCTCTTCCAGAGGGTCCTGAGTTCAATTCCCAGCAACCACATGGTGGCTCACAACCATGTGTAATGAGATCTGGTGCCCTCTCCTAACCTGTCGGGATATATGTAGATAGCACACTGTATACATAATAAATAATAAATAAATCTTAAAAAAAAAGAAATGCTGGTTTGCCCTGCTTTAGAATGTGAAATTTAAATGGTGTTTCTCAAACTCTGCTTTGAAACAAGCTTTGCTTTGATGGAAGGCAGTATTATTAAGTATCTGCAGGCTCTTCCATCATAACTGTCTGAGGCTTTGTCATGGGAGTCAACAGTATTTGTGGTCCTCAGGGTGTTTATTTCCTTTAGGTAAAATGATGCGATGTGTCCGATGCCCTGTTGCCTATCATGGAGGGGATGCCTGTCTGGCAGCAGGATGTTCAGTGATTGCTTCTAATAGCATAATCTGCACAGGCCACTTCACTGCTCGGAAGGGGAAGCGGCACCACACCCACGTCAATGTGAGTTGGTGCTTCGTGTGCTCCAAAGGTAAGAATTGGTTCTGCTGTGTGTGCTGGTCCACATGCACGATGCAGCTGTTGCCAGAGGCATCACCTCTGCAATTAGAGTGAATCATGAATCATGTAGGCTTCAAGAGATTACTTCAGTAAAGTGATACCATTGAGTGTTGACTCATGGATTGACACACTGACACTCCTGCTTCCACAGTTACAAGCTGACGTGGTGAGACAAGCTCAAGTGGCCTGTTCTCTTGTAGGGGGAAGTCTTCTATGCTGTGAGGCTTGCCCAGCAGCCTTCCACCCTGATTGCCTGAATATAGATATGCCTGATGGCAGCTGGTTCTGCAATGACTGCCGGGCTGGGAAGAAACTACATTTTCAAGACATCATTTGGGTCAAACTTGGGAACTACAGGTATGAAACAAAAGTCTGCTTTTATGTCTGTATTAATTTAATGTGTTTGCTTTACTTTACACTACTAAATATTGAAATTTTTGACGCTCTGAAGAATCTGTGAATCCTGTTTTTAATATTTATAATAGATGGTGGCCGGCAGAAGTTTGCCATCCCAAAAATGTTCCCCCAAATATTCAGAAAATGAAGCACGAGATTGGAGAATTCCCTGTGTTTTTCTTTGGGTCTAAAGATTATTACTGGACGCATCAGGCACGAGTATTCCCATACATGGAGGGGGACCGGGGCAGCCGCTACCAGGGGGTCAGAGGGATCGGAAGAGTCTTCAAGAACGGTATGGAGATTTCCTAGTGGAGCATAGATGGTACTGTCTTACAGCTTGTTATTACTAATTTCTGTTCTTTTGAAATTTGACCTTTTAAAAAATTGCTAGACTAAATATTCTGTCTCTATTTCTATACTAGAAAAAAGGAAGTTTGTAGGCTGGTGTGTTTATTGGTGTATACTTCGCTGTTTAATAGCTTTTATAATATTAGCTTATAATTAATTTTATGAAAATGAAAAAAGGCTTTTTTGCCAGACAATAGTAGTGCATGCCTTTAATCCCAACATTCATGAGGCAGAGACAGAGGCAGATAGATCTCTGTGAGTTTGAGGGCATCGTGGTCTATAGAGTGCATTCCAGAACAGCCAGGGCTACACAGAGAAACCCTGTCTTGAAAACCCTCAAAAAATAAATAAAGCTTTTTCAGAGATGGTATGTTTGAACTAATTATAAATATTTTTCATAGCTGGCCTTTTGTATGGCAGTTCTGGAGATGACTTCCCATGGTTGGAGCCTTAAGTTCCAGCTCTTTGCTACTATTCATTCTTCAGCAGACACAGTGGGACCTTGGGTTCCTTACACAGTGTCAGGGTGAACAGATTGACTGAAATGCGGTGTCTGATTCCACAGTCTGGGAGATGTGTAGTAAGTGTGGTTAAACTAGATAATGACTTGAGCAGAAAGGAGACAGGAGATAGAATTGTATGTTGCACAGGAAGAATCAGCATTTCCTTTAGGTGCAGAATGAGTGTGGACAGTAGGAAAACTTGAAGTGCTTACATGATTTATGCATGGAGAACTAAATCTGTGTCACAGCTGATGGTATTTGCCATGGTAGACGAAAATCTACGCCTTGAGAGCTATTGGCTCCTTGCTGCTGAGAGTTTAGAAGGTGTCAAGCATCAGCAGCCTGTCCTCTTTCCTTGATGCCTCAGCATTGGGGGGGGCTTTGAAAGGGCCGAGTAAGAATGGATAACCATTAGATGGGCAGGGGTGGTGCACGCCTTTAATCCTAGCACTAGGGAGGCAGAGCAGGTGGATCTCTGAGTTCCAGGACAGAGAAACCCTGTCTCGAAACCACACACACACACGCACATGGACATACATGTATGCGTACATGCACGCACACACAAAAATGAATAGCTATCAAAAGGTGCTTGAAAATCATCAGGAAGGAGAGATTCTGTTAAGATATTGAGGCAACCCAGTGAGTTTGGTATGGTAACAAATGGTGAAAGTGTGACCCCAGGCTCCTAACTCCTGATATTAACCTGCTATTAAGTTGGGCTTGCTAATGACTGACCAGCAGCTGCCAGTTCAGCCCAACCATTGACTTGGCCTCACAGTGACATTGACAGTCTGTAAGCTTTGGGTGTTGATGTGGTTTTTGCTGATTTGACCTGATGCTTCTTCCCAGAGCCCATTGCTTTAAAAGGAATAAAAGTTAACTTTTTTTTTTTTTTTTAAGTACAATGTGTCCCAAGCACTGATACTGTTGCCTTGTCCTTACAGCTCAGTACAGAGAATGTTGCCTGACGAAGCACAGCCACAGGGCTTTGTGCTCAGCTGGCACAAAGGCTCCTAGTGTTTAGTCACTGGGGAGTAGGCACCTGCCTTTTACAATGTATCATAGCCCTTAGCTTCAGAGAAACCAATAAAAGTACTTGGCAGTGAATATGGAGCTGCTTAAAAGGTCAATGTATTTGTTTACTAAAATATATTTCTATTGTTGGCCTTTTAGCACTGCAAGAAGCTGAAGCTCGTTTTAATGAAGTCAAACTTCAGCGGGAAGCTCGAGAAACACAGGAGAGTGAGAGAAAGCCTCCCCCATACAAACATATCAAGGTGATGGGCATGTCATGAGTGTGTGTGAGTGTGTGTGTGTGTTATCCTTCTCAACAGAGCGCTTTGGAAGTAGCTCTTGGGCTATAGATTTTTCAATCCCAGGTTATAGCTGTTAAGAGGTATGTCAGAAACTAAAACTATCTGTGTTTCTGACATACCCAGTGATGATTACTAGAATGCATGTGTCCAAGGTGGGTCCTGGAAGGGGCAGTATGAGTGTGCAGGGATCCAGGGCTCTCTGTTTACAAAGTAGAGTCATGACAACCTGCTTTTTCCTTACAGGTGAATAAGCCATATGGTAAAGTCCAGATCTATACAGCTGACATTTCTGAAATCCCAAAGTGCAACTGTAAGCCCACAGATGAGAACCCGTGTGGCTCTGATTCTGAGTGTCTAAACAGGATGCTGATGTTTGAGTGCCATCCACAGGTGTGTCCTGCAGGTGAATACTGCCAGAACCAGTGTTTCACTAAGCGCCAGTACCCTGAGACCAAGATCATCAAGACAGATGGCAAAGGGTGGGGCCTGGTTGCCAAAAGGGACATCAGAAAGGTATGTGATATGTCCCCTGTTTTTTGTACTGAGTAGTGATTCTTAAATTTGTTTGCGTGCAATGGAATATTGTATGGATGTGCATGGAGATCAGATGATAAGTTTCGTGAGTCAGTTCTCATTCCATGTGGGTCCCAGAGACTGAACTCAGGTCCTCAGACTTAGTGGCATGTACCTTTACCAACTGAGTCATCTCACTATCCATCTCTTCCCCCCTTGTAAGAATTAATGGCTTTGCCGTTCGGTGGTGGCGCACGCCTTTAGTGCCAGCACTCGGGAGGCAGAGGCAGACAGTTCTCTGTGAGTTCGAGACCAGCCTGGTCTACAGCCTCCAAAGCCACAGAGAAACCCTGTCTCGAAAAACCAAAAAAAAAAAAAGAAAGAAAGAAAAAAAAATCAATGGCTTCCTACTGTCTATGTGGTTTTGTTGTTGGTGTGTGTGTGTGTGTGTAAAGAATTTTGAAGCAGTGTCCAAATTTAATTATTAAAATTATTGTTGTAAACCAGGTATGATGGTATATACCTGGTACATGGCAGAGGCAGGTGGATCTGAGTTCGAGGCCAGTCTGGTCTACTAGTAAGTTCCAGGCCAGGCAGAGATCTCCCCGGGCAGAATCAACCAAAAAAACCAAAAAGTTGTAAGATGTTATGTAACTGCCATCAAAGCTAATACTCATACACTTCCTTGAAGTATGACTTGGGTGAGATTGTAATTTTTGCCTCTAGGAAAAAGGGTCTGTTAAGCAATCACTTTTCCCTAGACTCCCCGTCAGATGCTCAGGCTGTTTGGCAAGAGCTAGGGCAGTACCAATATTTGACTTGGTCTCAGCATTTTTTTATTTTATTTATTTAATTTTGTTTTTGCTTTTCAAGTCAGGGTATCTCTTTGTATCTTTGGAGCCTTTCCTAGAACTCATTCTATAGACCAGGCTGGCCTCAAACTCACAGAGATCTGCCTGCCTCTGCCTCCCGAGTCCTGGGATTAAAAATCATATGCCATCACTGCCTGGCTGACATGGTCTTAGCATAATCCAGTTAGAATAGATAAGCAAAGAATTCATTGGCAGAGGACCTGGCTTCTATTCCCAGGACCCACATGGTGCCTCACAAATCATCTGTAATCTAGTTCCAGGGGATCCAGTGGTCTCTTCTGGCCTCCGAGGGCATCAAGCACATATGTGGTGCACAGTCATACATGCAGGCAAAATACCCATATACTTAAAAGTAAATGTATTAGTGAGAGGAACTGACTAACTTGTTAACCATGCTTCTGTTTTCAGATTCACTTGCTAGTATATGCCCATTGTAGAGACACAAGTGAAATTGCTTGCTTACCTTACCATAGCCTAACCCTAATGTGCTTTGTCATGACCTAAGGGATAGTGGTCAGACACAAGGTTCATGACTAGACCCAAGGTTCATGATCAGAATTGGTTCAGTACAGAGAATTCATAAGCCACAGCATTAGTCTTCATAATCCCTCCCTCCCTCCCGGCAGTGGTGGCACACACCTTTAATCCCAGTACCAACTGGGGAGGCAGAGGCAGGGGGATCTCTGAGTTTGAGGCCATCCTGGTATACAGAAGGAGTTCCAGGACAGCCAGGGCTATACAGAGAAACCCTGTCTCCAAAAACAAAACAAAAATTTAAAAAAGATTGCTGAGATGAACTCTTCTCCAGCCTTATTCCTTGGCTGCCACAGCTGTTGCTTTATGTAGACTTGCTGTAGAACCTGCCTGTAAAGTTCTTCATAACCTCTTTTCTGTTGGAAATCTGCATGTAATTATTACTTATGTGGATGGTGGGTATTCAGACATGCTTCGCTAAGGCAAGACATTGTAGAAAGCAATCTGGAATGTTGCTACTCTGAGAATACATGAATATATTTGCCACTGGCAGTCTTTACTTATAGGATATAAATGAGGTCATTTGAATTTGAACTTAATGAAGGACCTGTAGGAACCATACCCCCTGAGGTATTAACATGTATGTTATCCTAGACTGATTGATGGTGTCATGGTACCTTGGACCCTGATTCTGAGACTTGGTCAGTATGCACTCATTACATTTTTCTGATTTCCAGGGAGAATTTGTTAATGAATATGTTGGTGAGCTGATTGATGAAGAGGAGTGTATGGCAAGAATCAAATATGCACATGAGAATGACATTACTCACTTTTACATGCTCACCATAGACAAGGTAATGGGAAGCTTGTCTTTGCTATTCATTCCTGAAGTCTTGATTATGGTTCATCACCTGTAGAATTGGCCCTTGTATTTTGGTGACATTCTCATTTCATCTCCTTAGTAACTTTCCCTGAAACATCTTCATATTGTTTTCTGAATGTAGAGCTGCCTTTTGGCATAGAACATCCTAAGAACCATGTGTGCCCTGTTCAACATAAAACATATACCAAGATTTTTCTTAAGATCAAGAGAAAGAAGCCGGGCGTTGGTGGCGCACGCCTTTAATCCCAACACTCGGGAGGCAGAGGCAAGCGGATCTCTGTGAGTTCCAGACCAGCCTGGTCTACAAGAGCTAGTTCCAGGACAGCCTCCAAAGCCACAGAGAAACCCTGTCTCGAAAAACAAACAACAACAACAACAAAAAATCAAGAGAAACAAGTATAGACATGAGCATTGCATGTTGTCTGGCCTATACTGTAGAGTGATTTTGTCTTGGATTGATCCATTTGCTTATAAATCCTGTGCCCTCCCTCTCTGTGTTACCCAGGCTTATTTCAAACTTCTGAGTTCAAGCACTCTCCTGTCACTTTCCAAATTCGTGGGACTAGAGGCATGTGCCACTTCTAAAGCTCTGTAATTCATAGTTTTAAACATCTGAAACCTAGTTAACTAGAGATTTTTTTGTATTCTAAGAATGAAGGTAACTAGGCCTGGGTGCATCAGACTGCTACTCGTGTGTCTTCTGCGACCAGCAGAAAAGTGGGGCTCTGTTTTAAAAACATGACTTACAGTGCTTGAAAGCCAGATAGAAAATGGCTATGGATCAAGTTTTTTGATAGAGAATAGCAAACAGATTCTGATACCTGGGAATATAGAGCCCTGTAGAAAAAAGAATGGCTCAAAGAGCCCCAGCCAACAGTCCCTCAGGAAACTTGACCATTCTCAGTCTGTAGAGTAGTATTGGGCTCCTATCATTTGCTGTAGGCTGTGGGGATTGGGCCCTTTAGTGAAGTCATTGTCAGAAGGACAAGAAGATTAAAACATTAAAAAAAAAAAAAAAGATGTAGGTGATACCCAAGCCAAGGATGATGGTGTACATGCCTATAATCCTAGCACTGGGGAGAATGAGGTAGTAGGATCCCGAGTTTGAGGTCATAATTACTGACCTCAAAATCCTGAGGGGTAAAGGAGGAACAAGCAAGCCTGTGTGCAGGGGTAGAGCAAAATGTTAGCCTCTAACCCTGAAAGTATTGGTGTTGGTGTGTGTGTGTGTGTGTGCACACGTTTGTGCACGCATACACGTTTGTCTATACATAAATTGTAAAACAGGAGACAAAATGAACATGGCAAAATTCTAACAGGTGGGTGGGATACAGTAATCTGCCTTTCCCATCACCACCACCACTACCCCACTCCCCACATGGGTTTGAATTTTTTTTAATTAAAAGAATTTGTTGCAAAAGGTGTCGTCCTTAGAGCCCAAGAGGTGAGTATCATATCCTTCAAGCTCTGCCATGACTTAGGATTAATAAGATAAACAATGAGCAGGTTCATGGAGGGCCTTCTGTAGGAGGTTATTCTGGTTTTCTGGGAAAACTGGCAAGCTAGAATTCTGGAGGGCAATGAAGAAAAACCAAGAAAAACCACTGCAATAAATAGAACTGCTTGACTGAGCCCCAGGGATGCTTTGGTACCCTGTGTGGTGATAGCTAAAGAGGCTGTTACTCTTCCCCACTTCATTTTCCCCATTCCCTCTTTTTGGAGCTATACATTAAAAACTAAGACTTGATTGTGCGTGCTCTGGAGAAGGCACAGGCTCAAGAAAAAGCCACAGAGATGGTCTATTTTTTAAAAAGCCTAGAAGGAAAATCAATATCAATGAACAAAGAACAAAACTCAATAAACCCAGAAGAGGTGAAATCTGATTTTCAGAGTTACTGTATTATTAGATTCAAATGACCAGTTTTCAACAACAACAACAACAACAAAAAATCCTAAGACCTAGAAGGAACAGAAAAGAATGGCCCATTCAGGGCAGTAATTAAACCAATTTTAACTCATAAAAAAGAACTTAGATCTCTAGGCAAAAGACTTCGAAACAGCTTTTGTTGTTTTGTTTTAAATGTTGAAATAATCGAACTCTAACCCTGAAAATTCCAGGCAAGTGCTCTATCACTGAACTACATCCCTAGCCCTGATTTTGAACTAGTTTTATAACCTATGCTGGCCTTGAACTTGGGATCCTCCTGCCTCAAGCCAACCTAGTGTTGAAATTACAGACATATGGCTACTGTGCCTCACCTAAAACCATGGCTTGAATGATACTTAAAGAACTCAGAGTGCTAAGCATGGTGGCTCATACCTATAATCCCAGCATTTAAGAGGTTAAGCATAAGGATCTCTCCCATATATGTAAAGAGAGAAGAATTAAAGAGGGCACCCTTATAAATATTTTATTACAATTAATTATACACTTAACAATGGTTAAGATGTGGTTGGCTCAGTAGTAGAGTGCTCGCCAGCATGTGCAACACCTGGGTTTCAGTCTCCAGCCCCTCCCCCACTCACTCATATTCTCTCTCTCTCTCTCTCTCTCTCTCTCTCTCTCTCTCTCTCTCTCTCTCTCTCAAAACCAGTAACTTTTTTTTTTTTTTTTTT